TACTCCTATCTCAGCTCCAATTATTCACTTAGCTCCTAACACTTCTCAGATTAAACCTTAGGATTGAGAATCATCAAGGTGTCGGTAGAGCCGGCATGATTCTTAACTTTATTAAAGGCATCTCAATGTAGTAGGGTAGCTCAGTGGTAGGGCACTGAGCTTCTGATGCTGAAGGTTCCAGGTTCGAACCCCGGCTCATGGCAGAAAGATACTTATTCTGTTTCATTGGCCATGGGGCGATTCTGGGTAGATAGCCCTCCTGGGTCACACCTAGCCTCTATAAAGTGCAAACCGTAAATTAAAATAAAAACTGGCGGTTGGACGTGATCTCGGTCAAATCACCTCGTTGCACAACCATAGACCAAGAAATAGTGCTTTCCCTAAATAGTACTGAACCCAAGACCATTCATGGGTTGTAGTGGTACAGGTTCTTTTTTTTTTTTTTTTTTTTTTTAAAGAAATCTCAAATCCGTTTTTTCTGTTTTTAAAAAGTTCTAATTCCTTTAATAAACTGTGCAACGAACGGTGGTCTAATCAAAGTTATAATTTTAAAAATTTAAAAACACATAGAGCTTTCTTCTTTCTTTCAAAATTATTGCAATTTCGAAAAATCGATAGAAATCTCAAATTAAGTGTTTGAAATGCTGATATAAGTGTCAGTTCTGATATACGACTACGAAACGTGGACACTAACCAACACCTCAGCAAGAAGTATCCAAAGATTTGAGAGAAAAATCCTCCGTACGATAATTCAAGTAATCCGGGATTAGAGCACTAGCGCGTGGAGGAGACCGAACTGTTTACCGGAACTGGTCAATCAATATCTCATGATTTGAAGACATGGAGGTTAAGATGGGAAGAGCATGTAGCTCGGAGCAATCCATCAGGACCTATCTACACAACAATGAATTCCTCAATAGTAGGCATGAAAACACTTCAAATGTTAAAAGCCAGATGTATAGATCGAATCAACAATGACGCACTAGAATTGCATACAGCTAAATGAAAAGAAATATCCCAAGATAGGGGCAGATGGAGGCTGGTTAAAGCGGAAAAAAGTATGTAATGCCAATAGATAAAATAAAACAATTTTTTTATAAACTTAATTTAAAAAGGAAAATCTCACATATTACCTTTTGAAGTTGGGTAGTTGGATAATTTTGGTCAATTGTATTGATTTGGACAATCCAATAGTTCTGAATCGTTGGTTTCAGTCTTCCTAATTTATCCTTTAGAATGTGCTAAGGTTGCTAAGTAGCCTTTTAAAAAAAAAATGTTTGCTTTTGAAATTATAGCTTATAATTTTTACTAGTAAATGTTTCACTGTATTGATAAGGACAAATTAAATACCTACGTTTGGTGTTTTTACCCCTGTACTGGAACCAGCGCATTTCATCTCATCATGTCGATTGTAAACTGTAAATTTTCTATATTCAAATGTGATGGATGTTTTAGAAAATTAGAAAAATAATACATTTTCCATTAAGAAATCCTTATTTATCCAATGCTTGAATACCAAATAATCTTAATTATATGAAAAATATTTGGTTTCCCTAAGCTCTTTCTGACAAAAAGAAACTCTTGAAAATTAATACAATAAAATGTCTACAAATCATGTTAAAATTTTACCATAATTCAACACCTTATTTTTTGGATTTTTTTTTCTCATAAATATCATTACACAATAGGGAACCTAGGCCTCTGAGAACATAGGTTTGTCTTTATTGGAGTATAATGTGAACATGATTTTTTCTTAATTCTGCGTTATGCCAACAAAAAACTTGTTAGACTGGTTCCTCAGTTCAAGAGTTATTTTGATGCACTTAATAACTTAAGCAACGAATTTCCGAATTTTTATGTCAAACATATCATAAATATGATGGAATTCTACAAATACGCACTTAAAAGTTTAACTCCATTAAAAGTGTACTTGATGAGTTTTGGCCATCAACAGGTGATTTAAAAAAAAAAGTTCAACTGATAGACATGTGAGGTATATCGGTATGAAATGAAAGCAGTCGTTGAAGAACTTGAAGAGGGAAGTTGGAGTGGGAATTTTTCTGGCTAGGATGCCAGGAATCGTGAAACCCTCTGAACTTGTCAGCTTTATTACAACGAAGTTCCGACCTTTTATGTCAAGCACATCATCGATATTTTTAAAATATATTACTATGCGTTTATATAAATTATTCATAATGTAATAACCCTCTAGAGCATTCTATTGGTTACCTATTAGCGGATATAAGTCAACAAAGATTAATTTTCAACATTACTTTCGGAAAGAGAAATTATAAATGACCCGATAGTCATAAATGATTATTTTATTAGACAATGCTATCAGGGCTATTTGTGTTCTTTGATGATAGATTGGTGTCTTTTGTATGTAGGGCATCAATGATCCTAATCTATTTTGTGCTGTTTGTTCAAGCTCTCACTAGTTCCCGGTGTGGTCTATTGGGCGAAACGTCTTATGGTACATTTCTTAATGTTAAAATTAAAAATTGGTATATCCAGTTCTATAACCAGAAATACAAGTTCTAGGTTCTCTAGAAGATGTAATTGGATTTAAAATAAACTAAAAAAACAAAACAATTCTTACCAAGAAAACCTTTAAAATAATTTCGCGATTAGATTTTATATCATTATATATTATTAAAATATAATATTATACATCGCTCTCTTTGAAATTGACCTAATTATTCCACAGCAAGTGACAATGCAATCATCAACTTATAACCTTTTTTTTTTAAATTTTATAAAGTAGGGAATATTTTAAAAATGCAAACTTTCGATTTTCTGAAAAGAGTATAAAATTTCTTACTGTAATTCATTTTCATATTTTTATAAACAATAAATTAAAAATAAAACCTGTTAACTAGCGAAACCTATAAAATTTGTGCATACTTTAATTAAATTACGACACATTTTATTAATTTGGTTCCAAAAAAAAAATCGATATTTTATGGTATCCGAAGAGAGTAGCATTAATAAATAAAATTAAATTCAAAAAGTCAAGAAAAAATTAGTCTGCCACTTAAGGTGATGTGTACTAATGTATATACTTAAAAATTACTGGGATTATTATATAAAACTATAAGTATATGTATTAATAGTTTTATGTTTACTAAGTGTACCGTTGTACTTAAGAGATATTTTTTATAATTAGTCCAAATGAATGTTAGAATTTTTTATCAAATATAGTTTAGATCTTTTGACATTTAATATCGAATTAAGATTTTCAGTATTTATTTATAACTGTTTCATTTTTTATTATATTGGGTGTAATTCTATTCCTTTCGTGTAAAAATAAACGGTAAAATTAATTATTGTAATTCTCGTTCTGATACATGAATCTGATAAATATATAGATTCAGTTGATATTACACGATTAAATAAAAATAAATACTAGTGTTAATTGTTATTTAAAACATTTTAAATAAATATATGAAGAATTATTATCATTTCTTTTTTAAAAAGTTTCTGTAAACCTAAAATTCGGATAATATTATCTTTGCAAAAATATTTTTTAATTAAAAATATTGTAAATTATTCATTTTCATCATCTTTTGACTATAATCTTTAACAAATTGAAAACAAGATTAAAAAATAACAATAGTTACAGTTTTGAGTTAAAAATCAACAACAGCTTTATTTAGGTAAATATAGATTCTGAAATTTGGAAAGTAACCCAATGTAAACATCGGAATGTTTGAAACTTCCTAATTGCCTCGGAAGTTGAGTCTACGTACTTCCTAGTTTAGTTGTTTTCGACAAATATGTACTTTCTCTTCATGTTCATAAGGAGGTAATTTTAGATTTGTGATTTCTCCCCATAATGCAACCATTCTGTTATTTGTTAATTTAAAAATAATAAACTAAACTATTGGTATTCTTTAGCAATTCGTATGTTGAATCATTCCCTTCAATAGAATTACGACATGACATAACTCCTGGGTTCGATACCGAGACCACTTAAAATGGCTATCTATAGATACATATCTTACGTATCTCTGTCTCACGTAAAACAATATTCCAATATATTTGTTTAACCTTTGGTATACCTTATTATGTTTAATACCAAGCTCCAATGTTAGAGACCTTTGCAATACTATTTACCTGGTCCATGCACTTCGCTTCTAAACCATTCAATGTATTCATCTTTCTAATTCTTCATTATTCTAAGTTTTACTTGAAATATATTCTAGAATAACAAACGTTCAAGTGACATAAGCTTTATTATAATGTTATAAGTAAACATTGTTCCTTTAAACATTTACGGCGTGCTATGGCACCAACAAAGAAATTTCTGTCAATCGTTCAGTAAATTCTTTTTCGAATAGAACTTAATAATTTCCGTCTTTAATATAGATATTATTTTGTGAGGAATATAGCCTATTTTTATTATTGCAGAACCCGAATACTTCTCAGTTTACTCAAATTTCTAAACTACCGAATTTAATGTATGTTTTTATTAATAATCATGTCGCTGGTTTATTTCTTTTTGTTAATAAATTACTTAATAATTTCTTTATTGAGATATATTACAATCTGTCACATTTAAGGGCAATAGTAATAGTGATAAAGAGTAGCTCATTCATACTATGCAGAATAAAAAAATATAAAAAAACAAAAATAATACTAAAAGTAATTATAAAGTCATTAAGTGACATTTCATAACCTCAGATAACTAAGAACTGTAATGAATTTTCTCTTTGTGAAATAATACAATTGTGCGCTTGTTCTAACTATATTTAGTATGCAGAAGGGTTTGTAGCATTTTAATGCACATAATGTGTTCATTTTATCGACAAATAAAGACGAAATTGACAAAAACGTTCTTAAAAGTTCAGCTTTTTCAAAAATGTACTTAGCGACATTTTGCGGTAAACAAATATATTTTGTTTTATCTGTGTTGCGAGGCCTGATTCTTTGACTGAACATATTTTTTACTAAATTTAAAAACGCATGTATTTTTTTTTTTTAATTTCCAAAAAGAAATTTTACTCACTCTTAAGCTCCCGACCCTCATTGGTGCAGTTTCCCTCATCCATCAGGCACTTGATGTACTGGCTGAGGATCCTGTCGTTGGATAGGATCTTGTCGACGTCGATGTTGTCATACTTGGAGGTGTAAACTTCTGCGGCGAAGACGGTGCCGACGACGACTACGAAGAGGAGTAGGAGCTTCATGTTGTACAGTGGGCTCGCCCGGCTCCGGCCTAGCCTATATAACCGCACTCCCCTCCAGCTCTTGTCCAGGCAAGCGAAAGCTGCTTACGTCACGGCATCCTCTCAGTGAAACCATCTCATTGTCTGATGGGCCAAGAATAGGGTCGATGTCAAAGCCATCTCGATCGGTCCAACTTTTACTCTCCCAAGGGCGAGGGGGTCCGGAAGTACTTCCCAGGTGGTCCGCATCCACCAGGATCATCCGGAAGGAGGTCAGAAGGAAGGAGTTAGTGGACAATGGTCCAGAGGTAATCTAAAATCAAAACCGAACTTAACTCATCACCCATCATATATAAATAAATAAATTTAGTTATGTAAAAAATACATTTTTTTAATCAAAGTTTCATGTGGGTATGGACATGAACATACACTATAGCGATTTGAGTTGACCTTCTTTAATATTATAAATTAAATTACATATTTTACAGGATGCTCTAACGATGAAGATTATAACCAGAAAATTTAATATTTTAGTATGATTATTTTTTAACATATAATACTCCGATGATGAAAGTTTAATCGAATATAAATTAAATTAATCTATAGATATAAACTTCCCAGAAATTTCAGAAGATATAGAATTTCAGTAAATAATAAATCAATTAAATTAATCCCGATAAAGGTCTTATATTTATGATAAGGATAACTACAATCCATATAAAAGTTTGAGGTGACGTGGTTCTAGAAAATAATCAGTATTTTTATGATTTCGATTTTTTTTTAAACCCATTTTACGGTTTAAAACTACCTATTTTTTTTTTAACTCAGCCTTATTATAGATCCTACAGCATAAGTGAAATTATTGTAGAAATTATAGATGGAAATCGATATGCAGATAAAATGAAAAATAGATCACTGAGCGAATAGCATCTTACCTATATATGTATATATATATATATATATATATATATATATATATATATATATATATAGAGAGAGAGAGAGAGAGAGAGAGAGAGAGATGAAATCCAGAAAAATTTCCAGAAATCTCAAAATAAGGTTGTACAACGCCGTGATAAAGCCAGTTCTGCTGTCCGGTTGTGAAACCTGAGCTCTAACCGGCACACTAGAAGCCAGAATTGAGAGATTCGGAATAAAAGTTCTACGTAGGATAACAGGACCTATATGCAACCAAAACCTTGACACATGGAGGAGAAGGAACAACAAAGAACTGTTGAAAGAAACAGGTCAGTCAATATCTCATGACATGAAGGCAAGGGGGTTAAGATGGGCGGGGTATGTAGCTCGTAGTAATCCATCAGGACGCCTCTACACGACAAGGCAAGAGACCACGTGGGAGGCCAAAAACCAAATGGATAGATAGCATAAACAAAGATACGGCTGAGCTTCATGCCGCAAACTGAAAAGCAGTAGCCCAAGATAGGCAGAGGTGGAGAAGGCGGGTTCAGGCGGCCAAAGTTCTACAAGGTCTGTAGAGCCAACCCGAAAAAAAAAAAAAAAAAAAAAAAAAAAAAAAAAAAAAAAAAAAAAAAAATATATATATATATATATATATATATATATATATATATATATATATATATATATATAGAGAGAGAGAGAGAGAGAGAGTGAAGCCGGTTCAAGGCTGATACCTGTCTAATTTAGTTGATATTTCTTCAGGTTTGTTCGAAAATTTCAAAAAACATCAAAAAAGTACGCATAGTTTCCTAGTTGACGTAGCTCTCAGAAAAAAAAATATTCAAAATAAAAAGAAATAATTTGTCTTAACTTTTTTGTAAGAGTATTAACATGCTTTTAAGAATATGAATTTTTTTAACACCTTGCATTATTACGTATCTACTGTATAAGTCGAACTACCAAGTAAAATTTCAGTTCTACAACGTAGTCGATTTTCAGATAGAGTGATCAACAGGTATGTGAGCGAGTTTTATGTTTCTTTTATATGCAGAGATAAAAATTGTAAAATACAATGACATCATTGCCTTTAATCTTCTTACAAATGTATGCTATTGAATTATTTTTATTCGATAATAAATCATCTGCTATATAAATTAAATTAAATCGTCCGTTTGAGTCTGTGTTTAATATGAAAAGATTTTTCTCAGTTGAGAAATAAAATAAAATACTTCAGTAAACTAATTTGCAAAGCGGTGTGGAGGAGTTTTGCGGGAGATTTAACCACAGGCTGAAGTTTAAAGTTAGTTAAGGCCCCGATACTTCCCCCAGGCAGTCGGTAATTTCTACTTTTTTAATAAATAAAAAGAAAAAAGGCCTCTAAGCCTCTTTACGGGAATATTTCAGGAGACTGAGGGGGGGGGGGGAGGAGAGTTAGAGGGGGAGGGGCAGGTGTGGTTCTCTTCTTGTTTCCTCATTTCGGCAGCCCCCCTTTAAAGCTCTTATAATTACATTTAAATAGTTTCATTTAAATAATTTGTTTGTAGGATACAGACGAAAACTTTAAATCAGGTTCATCATTAAATCATAAATATATTTAAAATAAAAGGTGTGCAAAAAAATAAATAAAATAGCTCATATTGAATATTTTATATGGGTTAGTCTCATTTATTCTAATGCTTTACTTTTATTATAATTTAGCGATACAATTTTAAAGGGACATTCCTCTAGATTGGCAGATGAAAAGTAATGGGAGCTCCTTTTATGCTCAGGAAGACTGCCTACCAATGTCGATGCCTAGGGGGAAAATCCGTTGCTTGCTTCAGGATGGGTGAGGATCAGGATTAGTTTGAGCAACATCTTCGTAGAACTGGAGTTTTGGACAGCTCTATAGGCCTGTCATGTCATGAAGAAGATTTTGATAGCGCTCTATTTATTTTTCAGTCAAAATTGAAGGTAGTGGAATTATCCTTGGAGAAGTTTTTTTTATTTATTTTTTTTTTTTTTAACCACCGGAAACTTTATTTACAAGAAAATTACAATATACAGTAAAGGATAAGTATATCCACGGATAGGAACCTTTCTTTGCCCGGAGGTAATTTAAGGATGGAGGGATAGGGACTGCTGTGTACACTAGAAGAAGACATAACAGATAGTCAGCTTAACATTTGTCCTGCCGTGGCAAACATCGAGAATGAGTACTCAAGAATCTTTTTTTTATATATTCTGTAATTTAAATTTATAAAAAAATATTATAGCATTAGATTTAAAAAAAAGAAAATAGAAAAAAAGGTGATCTGCACATCACCGTCACTGAATTTTTCTTCTTCTTATTTTTGTTTGTCAAGCAGATTAGAGTAAGCACCACAGTGCTGGACACAGCTGAGAGAATTTTGTCTTTTTTTGACTTATGTCGGCTTAATTATTATAGTTATAAACTTCTCCGTTAGACATTTAGAATCTCTAGGATCTCCTTTTTCTATTCAACACTTTAAAATTGAAAACATATTTAATTATCCACGTATAATCTCCAATTAAAAAAAACAAAACATCTTTTTGCACTAGTGATGGACACCCTGAAATTTAATTGTTCTAGTAATGGACAGGGGTCGGTACTAGTAATGGACCTACCTCAGAAAACTCTAAAAATTTTATTATTAACTATAACAATAACGAGAAATATAAGTTAACATAAATGTTCAAGTTAATCTTACGAAAACTTTTAGATATGAAACACACTGATCTGAAGAGCAGTGTAGAAATAACAATGATAGGCATTTTAAAATATTTTTTGGAAACTTTGTTCATACAGTTGTCAAAAGAAGGCATTGTTCTCGAATCGACTGGAACCTTCTGAACTGGGACCGAAAAAAACTGGAACCTTTAAATAAACAATGAAGCTTATTATTTATATTTAATGTCCAACCTGTCCATCACTGGACCCCCTGTGCTTAACTGGTGCGTTCATCTTTTTTTAATACCTGAGAAAATTGAATTTTATTAATTTACTAATTATTATACAATACTCTATTATTTTCAAATAATTATATTAAAATGTGTACTGCGTGTCCCTTCACAATACTTCCATAACCACTTAGGACAAAAACGTTTCCGCTAAAATTGGCCCCGTTAAAAAAAAAAGTATATTCGTTTATTCATGTTTAGCATTTTTTCTCCCTTAGCTATATAGACAATTCTTTCTCTGAAGAACATCCGGAACCTGCCAGTAGGTTTTAGTTTGTGAACATATAAAAAACTAAACGAACGAGATCAGATACGTATCTGATCCAGGATTCAATTTTAGTAAGAAATATATATATTTTTTTTAGTAATTTAGTAACTATGATTACAGAAAAAATAATGCTTTAAAAAACATTTCTTTCTAGATTTTGTAGCTGAAGTACATACGTTATAATAAGAAAAAATAACATGAGATTGTTAAAGTATTTGTCACAGATCACTCATAGGAAATTAATATGGACCAATGAAAAAATATGGCGGGTAAGGGAAAGAGATTTCGCTCGAAAGATTTCGATCCACATTTCATGTTGCGAAACATTATTTTTTTACCTATACATGCACCTAGAATTAGAATTCCAGTCTTAACCTACTACCAAATCCATTCTCATATCCCAATTCTCAAAATAAAATAATTGATCATATTTGAAGATTCAAATCAAATGGTCAAATGTTTCAGAGATCAGTCAATAACAGCTGAACCAATATTTCCCCAATTGAGGCACCATTAGCGTAGAAAACCACAAAACCTAATCAAAGCAGAACATTCACATAGGGGCAATGCATTTCATTCAAACAGTTAAACTTGGGCTTTATATTGCGGAATAAAATATATATACTCTGTACGTATTTGTATTGGGTTATTTCATACGAAATGTCCGTTTTTATTATTTCAGAAATTCAAAGTGGAGTTAGTGGACTTTTGTTGTTTACTACATTTACGTTTAATATAATCTTTAATTACCTGTTATTAATCCTTTCCTGTTTGATAATGTTTACCATCATTCGATTCAATTGATTGCACATTGTTTAGTGTGCCGTAAAATATAAAAAGTTTCGAATATTTTCTTTTTTATGTGTTTAAAATTGGACACTCGTCCGCGCAAGAAACATTACCACGGCATTTAGGGAAGGATGTTATAACAAAGGGACCATTCGCTGTTGGTTTGAAGAAAATTAGTATCCAAAACAATTATTGGTTTCTGTGTGGTGGTCTATGGCAGGAATTTATCCTATTTATTTATTTATCCTTTTTGCTCTGAGGTGAAACGATCACATCCATATTGTACTGCAGTGATATTGACAAAATGAATCAAACCCCCAAAA